TTTATGACTTTCTGGTTTCGAATGTCCCACATTTTCACCTATAAATATCGCCAGTATTAGTCCGTGTGGGAGATTCAATATCCAAAAATATTACTGCGAGGTTACCAGAATGTACTCATAAGATCTCAGACAGAACAAAAGTTTGACACTTTCAAAAAAAAAAACAAAATTATCACAACAATAAATAGAAATTTACACCAAAACAAAATGCATCGAAATTCGAAATAGAAATTTACTGCAAACATTTTAAAATCCATAAAAATATTTACCACTCCATCTGTGCTCTCCGTAAGAAGCAACTGAGAATTGAAATGCAGTGCCTTCAACCAACGAACATTAAACATATCATCAAATGTAAACGATCCTCCTCGCAGATCTGCGAAAATAGCATTTTTGCCTCGTATGCCCATATAAATCACATCGCCACACTAAAAATGAATTTGATAAACTCAACAGCTAAGCAAAACAAAAATTCGCTAGTCATTTTTCCTTCCTCCAGTTCTCCACTTTCTGTCTTCTATTTCTTCCATTTCATCTCTTTCTTGTCTTTGTTTTTATTTCAAAAATTTCCATACTACACTAAACCATCTAAATTATTTTGTTACCATAATCGTTGTACTGACAAGGTCCAATTGTGGTAACGGTAAAAAATGTATACGACTTAATGGATCGAAACATTTCTTATCTATTACAAATATTTCCATACTCCCATTTCCCCTGTTTTACCTCGCTTTTCTTCACTTCCTCGTTTTTCTACTTCATCATTTTCTCTTTATACTTTAAACAATATGGGACGATGAATGAGGGTGTTGTAAGTGACAAGACGAGAGTGGAGTTGAAGCACTGAAATAGAAACAACAACAGCGGAGGCTTGGAGATCTGGGAAGTTTATATACAGTTAGTTAAAGGCGGGGTGGAAGAACCTCGAATGGAGGTTCGTGGGAGGAAAGGAGGCAAGGAAGGATTTGAAATGAAGGGACTGACTCTCTACTGTGCATGACATAATAGCTAACAAAAGATAACTGATGAGCAAAAAAACCTTCGTGAGATCCTGACTGATGACTGCTCCGTTGGCGGCAAAAACTTCTTTAAAAGAACCGGTGACAGGATATAGCTCTAGACTATGTTCCAAACCTGGAAGATAGAGTGAAATGAATAAAATGAAATACCAAAAAAAAAAAACGCCTGGTCTGTCCAGGGTGGACCACATTTTTCAGATTTTTATTGGCAGATTTTGACAGATTTTTTTTTGGCATTTTCCAGATTTTGGGAGATTCTTGACAGATTTTTATCTGGACAAAAACTGGAGCAAAAAAGGGATGTCGATATTGCTGCTATTTTACGAAAGCCTTGCTCTGTTCTGGAATACCTTTAACAGCAGTCGGTCGATTTTTTTTTTGTGGCCGTCGCTACACCTTCCAATGGTCAGACTGTTGCTATTGGCATCCATTAAAATCTTCAGTCCTTTTATTTTTCTTTTTTCTCAGAAGGATGAGAAAAATGCAGGCCACAGTCAATCACAACTAATACAGATTTAAGCAACGACAAACATAATAATGTAGAAAAGGCGGGTGTTAGATATAA